AGTCCCAAAAGCACGTCATCTTATCTGATTAAAGCCGTATCGGCTGATTGTAGATCTGAGGAAAAAAAAAAAAAAAAAAAAAAAAAAAAATGGATGGGGTAAGGTATGTTGAGTTTGAGAATTTGTTAAGTGATTTGGAATAAGTTTAGGAATATATCGCGATTGTAAACAGTTGCTATGAAGTGGTAGTTGGAAGTCGGAGAGTAACGACTTAACGAGATACTAATTTAGATACAAATACTTAAACATAGAGCAAACCACTTTCCACCCACCAATGTGATGCCAAAGTTTAGTAGAATGAGGCTCACTTCACGATGCTCTTGCATACAGGGATTAACGTAGTCTAGTGAATGGTATGACTCATATGATGATCCAGACTCCTGTCAGATTAGCCTATGTTTTTCTTGCCTAGGGAAATTATTTTAACTTCGCATGTTATCTACAGGGTGTTCTACATGCGGAGTAAAGTAATAATGCTGGGGGCGCTGTCGCTGCCGGTGTTCTACTTCGTGATGCACGTGTGGTACCTGTACTCCGGATTTATAAACTACGACTACAATATGAAAGTCAATGTTTTCTTCGGTAAGTTTATCTCTTTAACATCATTCGCCATAAAGATTCTTGACATGCAAAAATGTCGTAATTGTAACCTAGGTACTTTAAGTCGAGTAGGTAAGTTGGCCAAAGAAATTAGAAGATTTGTAACACATAACATAACATCACGCCTTTTTATCCCCGAATGGGTAGGCAGAGGTGCACATTATGGCGCTTAATGCCACTATACAATGCAACACCTACTTTTCACTATTTATGTTATGAGTCCCATGTAATAGGGGATGAGCCTATTGCTATATACCGGGCTCATTTCCAGACTCCGTGTACGACCCGGGAATCGAACCCGAGACCCCTTGCAGTCGCACTTGCGACCACTTGGCCAACGAGGCAGTCAAGTTTTGTTATTCTTTGTAAATTTCTCTGAAATTTTCGTAAAGGGCATCTACAGGGCCGTTTTAGACTACGCTAACACCTTAACCTTAACCCTTCGGCTAACAAAAATTTGGGGTGCATTTAAAGCACACAATGATTTGCTCCGTGCGGGAATCGAACCCGCTACAAGTTACGCGGCAGCTGGTCCGTCGTAGAAACTATCGGTCCTTTGGCGCCCCCTGAGGATGGGGGCCCTGGGCACGGGCCCCGAGTGCTCTTAAGGTAGAAACGATACTGGGTAGGTTTGTAGGTGCGTCCCTGGTTTGTAAATATGGAATTTAAAAAATCAGTTCCATATTATGTGCACTTGAGAAAGTAACATGTTATGTTATCCATTTAATCTTCCAATTGCGTTATCCAGGAGCACTTGGGTCAGTGATCTGGCTGGTACTGTCCTGGCACCAGTGGACGTTACGGCGGCGGTACGCGTGGCGTATGATGGCGTTCACGTTGCTGTCTGGCGCGGCGCTCGGTCTGGAACTGTTCGACTTCCCGCCCAGACACGGTGTCTGGGACGCACACGCGCTCTGGCATTTGAGCACGGCGCCTTTACCAGTCTTATTTTATAGGTAACGTATTAGTATGTAGTATATATGTAGTGTATCGTAGACCAGCTTACTTAGAAGTCATTGGGGAAAGCTTTTTTTTAAGGTTGGAAAATCAATGGTTTCTCCTGCTTTGGATGAGGCGATGGCGAGTGTCAGAGTCGTACTAACTAAAACCACCCCATTCCCACTTCTGCTTGGAGCCGGAGCTCCTGTTACCCGTGCAGGCCTCCGTGGCTCTGAATTGGGAGAGGTGTCTTGCGGTTGATATAATGCATGCAGGCATGATAACAATAGTGGATGGCTAATGACTCCTTATAAATCAGTCTTGTTGGTTTAGTGGTTATTGGTTACATGTGCGACTGTCTTTCATAAGTTTCAGTTTTTTTTACTTCGTACCTAAATATTTACACTTCTGCCTACCCCATATAAAGCACGGTGGTTGTGTTATTCATGTTTTCAGTTACGTGATAGCTGATCTACGGTACGTGGCATCTAGTGAATTGGACAAGTTTGCTTTCAAGATGACGTGAGAGGAAGACCCTATTTATTAATAGCTAAGTAAGCCTTCACTGTTTTTGTATATAAGTTTTAAAGTCAATAAACAACTTGCAATAAATAAAGGTAACAACTTTTTTTAAGTAAAAGTGAGTGAAGTGAAGTGAATTTACTTATACCTAAAACCTTGGACATAATTAATGAGCTATATTTAATGGTACTTATTTTTTTATAATTCATAAGCCTAGTTTAACTTTAGAAACATATGTGGCTTTGAGTTTAAAAATAAATAAAATATGAGACTGAAATTTTTATTACACATTTTTGACACAATAACACATTATACGGACGTATCACATTAGCACAAAACAACACAGGGAGTAATTTAACCTTCAAGTAACTTCTTCTTCCACGCCTCGCCGCACCCGCAATGGATGCCCGGCTTATGTATCCGCAGCCACGGCTTTCCTTTGGACGACCCCTTCAGTTTATTCTCACTATTCACTACTCTGTTCGTTTGTCGTCCAGTTTTCGGACTCATCGTCTTTGGTTCCATAAGAGCACTTCTGGCTTCGTAAGTTTGGTAGCGGGCATGATAACCATTTGTTAGGTCGGAGTACATTCGCTCCGAGGAGCGGCGCGCTCTGTTATTCTGGAACATCAGCCTCTCGTCCCAGTACCTCCGGTACTCCTGTTCCATATAGGGCGACCTCTTTTTCTCAGGACTTCTGTCTCTTTGGTATAATTGTTTGTAAGATATCTTCGAATGGGTTTTACGTTTTGGCAGGTTGTGTGGCCGATACGGGTTTTTAACACTTTTCTCAATTTTCTGACTATACACCGTCTGGTAATCATCTGAGTCACTGGTAGATTCTTCTTCGCTCTCACTTCTTACACTCATCTGCTTCGGTTTCTCTTTTACCTTGAAGAGCTTTACAGATTTTAACATCTTGCTAAATAAACCTTGCTTTTCTTTTTTCTGGAATTCAAACAAAATGATATACAAAAATTAAATTAATAGCAAAATGAACGATGTTATTGGATATATGTGAATGAATGCTAACTTGTTTAGGTTCCAGGTCGTTAACTGGAGTTGTCGACTCCATATCATAGTCTGTACTTGATGTCTCCGTCTCGACAGTATCACTGTGCTGCACCAAGGTTTCACGAACTACTTTCCTCTGTAGTTCCGGGTCCGTCGGTTGCGTGTGGTTAATGCGTATATAGTTGTTATAGCTTTCGTCTTGTATCCTATCAGAAGTATCAGTAGTAGTCACCATTTGAGATTGTGTGGTCACTTCGTTAGACAGTACCTTACTTTCGACCGTTGTATTGAGGGTGTCTGACGTGTCTATCATGTCTTTCTTTATAAATAATTCAGATACAGCTTGAACAACATTCCTAATTTTTTTTGGTTGCTTTTTTGGCTCTGATTTTAATATCAGTGGTTTTAATATTTCATCATATTCGCTGAGTGAAGAATCTTTATTCGGTAAGTCCATAGTTAAGGCCATGGATTTATATATCTCTTTTATTAGTTTTTCTGTTTCTTTGGTACGCTCTTCTTGAACTTCCTCGGTATTGGTGGCAATCGTTGCCGCGTGCTTCATATAACTAGATTTGATGTGAGAGCTGTTGCGGTAGCAGCTCGTACACATGGGTCTCCCTCCTGGAGGTTGTATAAACAATGGGAAGTTGTGGAAACATTTCATTCCCTCATGCGAGTAATACAACTGATTGGGCATAACTCCTGCCAGTTGACTGGGGTTTAATTGTGGCGAGCACGTCGCCATATAGGCAGACGGGTTCATAGTGCTATAAGGGCTATAATTGAAACTATTCATCAAACTGGATCCTTGCATGTTGTTATGCGACTGTCCTTTTTGGACGACTGCATCTTTCTTGGGTTTATCTCGAATAACTTGATTTTTCATTTGGGTAGTCACTTTAACTTCTGCTAGAACCGATTGAAGTATAACTTTGATCTGATTTAATGTTTGTTCAGTTTTAGCGTCAGCTCGATTAATTGCAGGTATGTTCGTGGCTGTCTGGCATTCAATAGTATTACAATTTTTAGTTTCTATGTTGGTAGTTAAACACTCGGCGTTCTTTTTAGACGGCAGAAGAGTTTGCCGAATCTCCTGTTTCTTTTTAGACGGCAGAAGAGTTTGCCGAATCTCCTGTTTCTTTTTAGACGGCAGAAGAGTTTGCCGAATCTCCTGTTTCTTGGGTTTCTTGCAATTTTTTTTAGAATAAATATTTCCAAAATCTACAGAACAACTTTTCGTCGTCTCAATAGACAGCGGCCGCTCTCGTTTGTAAATTTCCTTCCTTCGTTTTACTACTTTTCTTACGATCGGTTCTATACGATTCATTTTTGAGGGGATTTTTTTCCCGTGGGAGTCGTATCTATCTCTGAAAACACAATCAGCTGGGGGCATGTACACATAGCTCGCTGGAATAGGGTACATCGAGTGGTGGTACTTAGAGCGTATACTCTCCGGCCAGCATTTTATATCGAAATATGGTTTGTGCTCTTTTTTTCGAGCCGTCTCTGTATTCAATTTTACTGGCTTTTCTTTGACTGGAATCATGTCGTATTGTTTGGTGTCATAATACATGTTACCCAAGTTGATCTCATTAAGCATGTAAGTCTGAGGATGAATCAGTCTGTTCATGTGATTGTCAATATTGTGGAAAGGGCCATAACAACATGAGCATATGTCAGACTCACATCGACAAGCTCCCTCGACACGCGGCTGGACATCTCTGCAGACAGGTGATGAGAACTGACTTAAGATAGATAAGTTATCTCCTATAACTTTAGGTTTATATTGCTTGTTAATCATTTGAGCCAAATATGAACGACTCATAACATCACTTTCGCATTTTGGATCCTCTGTTTGTTCGGACTTAGTAAACGGAGAGCTGTTGTTCGTTTGTGCGTAGTAAACAAATGGCGAGGTCCCCTTTTTATATTTGATCGTCTTTTTTTTCTTTTTAAAGAACGTTTTTCGATGACAGCTTGGTTTTTGTTCAGTCATCGTGTGAGCGGCTTCGTAACTTTGATAGTTCGCTTTTATTACGTCTTCAGCACCTTGGGATAATTCAGAGTTGCCACAGGAAAATGGCTGGTCGGATATAGCATTAGGATCTATATTCGGAAAAATAAACGAAACGTTGGACTTCCCTCTTTTCTGTAAACATGTTGGGCTCGTGCTCCGATCGCAATCCAGCGATTTGCAGGATACCGCTGCAGTGGATACTTCAGGGAATTTAGAATCTACAATCGCTGCGTTTACAGTGGTCCGCCTGCTCGAGCTTTGTTTGTTAAATTTCAGATTTTTGCTATCTTTAAGCGAATCTGATGCTACTGGACTGTGACCACCATCCAGTTGTTTCTCTAAATGCAGTATTTTTTGTTGCAAATCTGTGACGTCAATTGGTATACAGGATATAATTTTAACCTCGGTTTGTGACGGTGTATTGCCTACAACAAGGCAATAATTATATTAAGAATTTTCTTATTATCGGGTGAGGGGTATAGTAAGAATGAAAGAAATAAGCATATGGATTATCTTATTGAAACAAAATACTAATACACTTTTGTGGTATGCATTTTAACTTATTTCGACTGTACATAGTCTGTCACTAGGCCACTCCATTAACTATCGGAATGTAATGTATGCAAAATGATATTGTTTCGATTATTAAATACAAGTTGCGATACCTAAGTTAAATGCAATTCTTCTTAAAAAGTTCTCGACACCCTTGAATCGCTGTCGGCATAACATGGAACCACCGGCTAAATGTTCTTTGCTCATGGTGCCAGTCACCTGCAACATCAATTTCTTAAAAAAATGCTTTA